TGATGTGATAGTGCTGATAGCCAAACGCAGCCTTAGTATACTAGGAATATAATAAGAATGGAACTTATGAAATATTTGATCCTAAGATGGAGATAATTTATAAAGTGGATTAATAATTGTATATAAGCCAATAAATGAAGAAATTATTCCAAGTAAGCCTATTGTACCTGGAGTACATTTTGTGATACCTAAAGCTGTCAGTGGAATAAATAGATCACATCCATTTTTAATAGTATCCATCATTACTTCCTTGTGATTTTTTAGACAAGATAATATGTGATGTTGTTTAAATATATTTTTCTTATGTTCTAAAATCTTGATAATCTCATAAATATCTCTTATCAAACTCATAACAATAGTTAGCAACCAATATTTATTAGCAACTCTATTCCATTTTTCTAAGTTGATTCGTACAATCCCTACTCTACCAATCCAAATAAAATGATCTGCTAATAAATACAAAGCATTTGTCATCTTTGCCATAATCAATGTTATCCTCACCATTGGATCGGGATACTTCATCATTTTTAGAGCAAAATAGAAGCTATCTAAACATCTTCCAAAACGCAGCACTAGAAAGAAAAAAATATGATATGATTAATTTATCCATTATAGAAAGATGTTTTCACAAATCAGTTAAATACATTTTCGAAATGAACTAAAAGTGAATTCCAAACTCCTCAAAATTTCTGCAGAGTATCTTGTGCTATGTACATTTTGTGCATAGTACCAATATGCTCGACTTCCATATTGAAGTAATCTGAAATAAGAAATATAGTTTTTAATACTTGCTAAAAATAGATTAATTTTCTATAATTTATAAATTATATAAATAATAAATAATAATTTCCTTTTAACTTCTTTAGGAAAACCAATTTTAAATAAATTGATCAAATATTGTAATATTGAAAGTCAATTATGGATAACAGTAATTATTCAATATGTGAAGAGAAAAAAATTACAAGCTTAACTAAGAGACCATACATATACAAAAATATATTTAATTAAAAATAAAAAGAAATCAAGAGTTTGAATATCGAATATAATTGAACAACAGATATATCAATAAAGAAAATTATTTTATTACAAAATTTTAATATTACCTTATTATTTTGTCCCTTCCTGCTGTTTGCTCGTTTAACTTTACAATGATATCCATGATCTTTCAAAAAAATCTTGCTCCTTACTTTGCTTTTTAATTACTACTTGTAATGTTAATCACAATTGCATAACAGTAGGGATAAAGCGGTAAGTAATTTGAATAGATACTGGGAAACTTTCGTGTTCAAAGCTGTAGTTTAAAAGCAATTTTGTGAGGTAAGTCTAAAGCAAACACCTTGGTGTTTCTTAATTTGCATTTGCTATAACTGTTCGATATATCTTTGACGACGATCGTTCGTCATTATCACTGGCTGGCAACAATTATATTGGACTCTGCACTTTGAAAAAAATTGTGCAGAAAAGATGAAACAGTGATGTAATTACTAAGAGGTTATGAATTTGTGAGCGTATTCGAAAATACAAATCGCTCACTGAACACTTAATAAACTTTTGTATTCAACTGGTATATTCTATCATATCTAAAAAAATATATTAAATGCAAAAGCTCACTAAACGTTCAATTAATAATTGTACTTCTAGATGCAACTAAACTCGGATCGCTATTTCGCATAGTTCAGAAACGATAAATATATTCATCAGAAAAATTTATGTAATACGCATATTTACATTTTCATATTGAATCTTTATATTCGTCATTTAAATATTGTTCACATTTTATCAAAAGATTATACAGATTCTTTCTTGATGAACGAGATAAGTAGTAAGCATTTATTGCAATTTGCAAATACTTTAATAGTACATTTCCTGATTTTTTTAGACTTTATTTACTTAGGTTTCAATTTATATAAAATATGATTTTTATCGCTTATTCGAGCCCTTTGCGCGTTAGTAAATCTCTACTTTTAGTCGCGCCAGTTACTCGAAAACTTGCTCAACATTTTTGTCAAAGAAATATTTTACGCATTAACTATACATATATTATGACAG